TCTTATGTGGATCCTAATCCCCTTATCACGGCCAACTTCTTCTAATTTTTCACACAATGCAAATAATTGTTTCAATGTATAATAACTATATATTCTTAAAATTCTTATACGTTAAAATTTTAAATCCTCTTTTTAAACGTTTACAGATTAAACAAATATACGCATATATAGACTAGAAGAACTAATCGACAAATTTAAAGATTAAAAATTCTGTAAATTTTTTAAGAAGCATTTAAATTTTAATTTTAATAACGGATTTTATAATATCTAGAAACATTTGTTTTAATTTAAATCGTTATAAATTTTCAATAAATTTTTTTGTTTTTTTTTTGTAAATTAAACTTAAAGTTAAATAATAATAATATATCGAACATTAGTTGGTAATTTTTTTATTCTTTTCAATCTTTAAATAGTATGTCTTCTTACAGTATATTTTTCATTTTATAATTTTCAGTTTTTATCATTATTTCGTTAAATTATCACTGTTTAGGCCCATATTCGGGTAATTTATACGATGGAATTGTTGAAAATAACCATAATTTTTTTTTTAATAAGTATTTTTTTCTTAATATCTGTTTCTTTGGAATACCATTTCCAATTCTCAAAGTCCAATTTATCGTGTCAAATTCGAAACGCTTTCTTAATTGCATGTTACAATTTTTTTGCGCAATTTTAAGGATTCAAATCATAAATATTTTATACATATATTTATATATTGATTATTACGTATTTCTTTTTATATATATTTAGTTGTATTTTTGTTATATACATATTTTTAATGAAAAATTAATTTATTTAATAAAAAGCAGTATTGTTTTCTAAAAATTAAATCTCCATATATAACCTCTCAAAAGTGGGAAAAAATAATTTTATCCAATTATTTGCTCCTATTATGTCGAAATGTGCGATGCCAATATTATTTCTTAAACTCTCTAATTTAACACATACATACGCATAAGAATACACGCGCGCAAATAAAATTGATCGAACAACGGGTGGAAAAAAAATTGAGAGAAAGAGAGAGGGGGAGAAAAAAATGGTGGAGAATGAACGAGAACCGATTTAATTGGACCGGTTTACGTTCACGGATCGCTTCAATCAAGCCGTGACACGGACCGGTGGCGATATCTGGTGGATGGGATCGATGCGCGCCAGTCGTGAAATCGCATTAACGTCCGCGATTTCTCATCTCGAATGTATCGTTAATAGTAACGACGGCTCGGTTGATTCGGCGACAAGATCATTAGCAGGCCTCGATTACGCGCTGTCCACCATCCCTACTGCTGTTAGCCTATCCCATTTTGCATTCCAATCAAATCGCACACGCGATCTCTCGTCCAATTAGTCGAGACGAATTAATAATAAAAAGAAACGACTGTTTCATTTTTGAAATCATTATAGAAAATTCCGAATTGTTATTAGGATCGAGAATAATTCGCACGAATTCGATAATTTTGTCAGATTTTATGCAATTGTATATTCTACATAGAATATCTCGAACCGGTTATCGGATATCGTCATTCATAAAAAGAGAGAAATTAATTTAACTTATTTAATGGATTGAGAAAAGATTGTTGCGCAAATGAATAAAACGAATTTTTCCATGAAAGAGATTTATTTCCCAAACTAATCTCTTTCTTTTGTTTTACGTTTGTGCGAAGATAGCTATTGTAGACTATTGTATAAGTTTATTATGCTCGCGATCAATTACTCGATTAATCGTGCTGAACCGAAAGGAAAAAAATTATCCTATTTCTCTTTTCTAAAATTCCATTATAAAGACGCCATTCTTTACAATATCACATGTCAATATTTTATTCAACGAGAGGGATATTAGACAGTATGTTTTGTACTTTAATAAGTGCAACACTGTATATACCTCGTGAGAAATATTCGCCCGCTGTAGAAACGTTTTAAATGAAAAAACATGGCAACGTTTATATATGCAAGAGGAAAGAGACGCATTGAATTAACCTACTCGTATATATGCGTATATATATTCCATACCACTTCGTAAGAAATTACAAATTATACATTTACGTCTTACAATTCGCGCGACTGGGCAAACGAGATAAGCTTTCCTCGAGTTATCGAAAAATTCTTTTTAAAATGCCATAACGTGGAATATAACACGTTTAACAAATCGCGGCGAATAATTTGCAGATAACATCTGGACGCAAATTGCAGAGAAAAGTGCTACTCCTTTATCATAGATGTTAGTGTGGCAAACTCCCGCGAGGGGCATTACTGCGCTTATATTACGAATATACGTGCACACCCAGCAACTTCTTCTCTACGATAGCGAGCCACTACCGATGCGCTAGCCTCGTGCTAAATGCTTCACCACGAGCAGGCGCAGCTACAGATAAAAATTAAAGCCGCCATAACGATTCGCACGAAATTGTCCATTTCGCTCTTTCTTTTTTTTTTTTTTTTTTTTTTTTTTTTGGTACGTCGAATTGGTGAATATGAAATTTATTCAACAGGAGTTAATTTTGTGCTCGCATTAACCTATTAATCTAATCTAACCTAACTCTTTGCGATTCCGTAATTGGACAACGATTTCAGTGAATTTTATTAAAGGTAAGGAAATTAAAAGTGAAGTATTTTTATTTCTCCTAAATTTTTTCAAACTGATTCGAAATATACTCGAAAAATAATCTTCGAAAGGTTAATAAAAAGAAATATAGGAAACGTGTATGGCGGAAAGCTACGTGGCCAAAGATCGTGAAAATATACAGGTCGGAGATTAAAAGAATTCAGAATGTATCGTTGAGGGAAGAGACTGACTGCTCCATGAATTATTCGTCTGAAAGAATGAAAATCCACGCGACATGGAATCGAAATAAATCCCTATCCCTCCCTCCTCTCCTCTCTTTATACAGTTACACGTAACGCGGTATATGAGACAGAGATAGAGAGAGAGAGAGAGAAAGGATCGTGAACGGCGTACAATGGTGCGTAGTTTTTTTTCAACAAGAATTGTTGAACGCGAAATATCCCTCTGTCAGAACGCAAAGGCGGAAGAATTTCCGGAAACTTGTGAAAGTACAGTGACCTGGGAGCTCGGTGAGTGCATTGCCTTTTATCGAGATCGTTTTCAAAAATTTGAAAAGAAAAAAAAAAAAAGAAACGAGATTATAATAACGCGAGACATTTTAACAAATTTATTTCTTCTTTTTTTTTTTTTTTTCAAATCAATTTCCATCCATCTACAATTTCCATGGAAATGTAATTGTTTATCGGGTACATTGTTTACGTTAATTGAAGCGGTATTGTGTAACGGTAAACTCGTCGATATGATCTCGAATTAATGTTAGTTAATGAATAACGTTAGTTCTTCTTGCATGGATACGGTTAATTAAGGGAGAATCTAAAATTTCCCTCATAAATGAATATTTATGCAAGTGGATATTTTGTAGGGATAATGCGGATATTGATCGTGTGGTCGCATCGAAATACAATGTTTGTATTCGTTATTTAAAAATATGGAAAAACAATAATGAAAAATGTCGGAACACGTGTAAAGCGTACATCAAGAGAATCTGACATTATATAATCCACTTGCTTATGGAAATCCTCGTTCTTTCCATCTTTTCTTTCAAACATTCAGAGAAGCAGGTTATCCGAATTTATTACCATTTTAAAAGAAAACGATACATAAGAATAAAGTCTAAAAATAATAAAATAGACCAGGGAGTTTACGTTCATAACTTTCTACATGTATTTCTATGAAAATGCTTTCTTTAATCAAAAATATAATTTACATAGCATCCATGTATAAAATTAATTCATTAAATCCACTATAAACTTAGCAACTGTTCCTTATTTAAAAGTCAATTTATAGGAACAAAAGCAAACTTTGAAGTTTCACTCCCAGTTTTATCCACATCATTTCATTTTTTAATAATTTCAAACAAAAATTGTGTACGATATCACACATTCTGATGATAAGCGTTTCACCTTAAATATAACCATAAAAACATATGCATAAATAATATTTTAAAAATGTCTTGCCATGAGATAATAATATTCACTTAGAATTTTAGAGACTCGAGAGATTGTTTAAAGAAGAAATTTGAAAAATCGGCAGAAACACCGGAAACTTTAAAAGCATACTTTAAAAGCATCGTCGCCCAGCGTGAAATACATTTTGTTTCGAACAAAATCCTTATTTCTTTGGACTGTTCGTTCGAGCTTATTATACGCGAGAACTAACATGCAGCGTCCCTCAACAACACACATAAAACAGATATACTTTAGATACAGGCTTCCCCCTCCATTACACTCCTTGGAGCGTGAACAGTAAAGTACAGAAAAGGCTAGGAGTCTAAGTAATTATTCATATAAAAAAGTCTAAGTAATTAATCATATAAAAAATAATTAATAAGTTATAATAATTATTATAACTTATTATAATTATATTATTATATTATATTATTATTATTATAACTATTAATTATAAATTATTATAATTAATAGTTATAATAATAAGAAATAATTA